CTACAATAATGTTGTCAACTTACCATGAATTACTATTTTGTTTAGCTCACAGAACCAGAAATCTCTACTATACAACAATAATGTTGTCAACTTACCATGAATTACTATTTTGTTTAGCTCACAGAACCAGAAATCTCTACTATACAACAATAATGTTGTCAACTTACCATGAATTACTATTTTGTTTAGCTCACAGAACCAGAAATCTCTACTATACTACAATAATGTTGTCAACTTACCATGAATTACTATTTTGTTTAGCTCACAGAACCAGAAATCTCTACTATACAACAATAATGTTGTCAACTTACCATGAATTACTATTTTGTTTAGCTCACAGAACCAGAAATCTCTACTATACTACAATAATGTTGTCAACTTACCATGAATTACTATTTTGTTTAGCTCACAGAACCAGAAATCTCTACTATACTACACAGCACTTTAAAAGGTTTAGAGTATTTACACAGTAGAAGAAAAATACATCGGGATATAAAAGCTGGTAACATCCTACTCAATAATGAAGGACATGCCAAATTAGCCGACTTTGGAGTTGCTGGACAACTTACGGTACTGTACTGCAAATCAGATTATTCCATATCAGTGTGTACTATAAAAGGCACTTGAATGAGAAAACAGATGGAGTTTTGTTTAACCATGAGCAAAAAAATTTGTGAGGAAAATATGCACATTTTTAAAATGCAAATTTGATGGTCAGATGTTTTAAATGACATAAACTACACAATATGAATTATTTGAATGACCAATGAGAGTGTTCCTAATATGTGCAACTAAAGATTACTTTACTTTCATTTCACAGGATACAATGGCTAAACGTAACACTGTCATAGGAACTCCATTTTGGATGGCGCCAGAAGTCATACAAGAAATTGGTTATGATTGTGTTGCTGATATCTGGTCACTTGGAATTACAGCTCTAGAAATGGCTGAAGGCAAACCACCCTATGCAGATATCCACCCTATGAGGGTAAGTTATCGTCTGAAAAAATCATTGGTGTTTACCCTTTGAACACCAAAACAGAATTTTGTCACTTTCAGAAATGTAAAATAATTTTGTACAATCTACTCATCCCCACAAGAAATTTTGACAATAGACAAACCTTTTGATAAAAAACTAAAAGCAATATCTGAAACTGTCTGTATGGCTCAAAAAGATCATGAAATTTAATGAAAATTGTTCAAAATATGCAGATATTTGCACTGAATTGTGGGTGAGAAAAATATTTGGGCACTCAAAGGGTTAGCAAAGAAATTATTGAAAATTAAATAAAAAATATGTGAATTTTTGGCGTCAAAATGTTGGCTATATTTTTAGATGAACTCCGTAATACTGAAATATATTGTACATGTAATCACAAATCATGTGTTTCCTCATACAGGCTATTTTTATGATTCCAACCAAGCCACCACCAACTTTCAGAAATCCAGAAAAATGGTCAGAAGATTTTATAGATTTTGTTTTGCAGTGCCTTGTCAAAAACCCGTCAGAGAGACCGTCAGCTTCGAGATTACTACAGGTAAATGTGGTTTTCATTGTGTTCTAGGTGATGCATGATCCTTGACATGTGCCTAGAATCCATTCATACCTAAAATTACAAATTACAACACACATGTACTGACCGTAAACTGCTTCAATTCAGTTTGTTCTTTGTTTTGTCTTATTCCATTAATATTAAATTTTTTTTTTTATTTAAACAATATTTTTATTTTGTTTCAATAATATAAACATACAACACAAAATATTACATTACATAGAGGTATAAGGAAGGAAAATTAAAATTAAGAGAAAGAAAATAAGTAAGAAAAAAAATTTGATCTGGTATCGTATTACCCCGGGCACGCGCCCCTCCCTGGGCAAGCACCCACCCCCCTGTTTTCACAAAAGTTACATGTTGGGGACATCCTCGGTTAAACGCCCAGGGTGATTTTTAGCCAAGAACGGGGTCAACAATAAAGTTTTATTTGTCAAAAACGAACGCGTTTGATTTATTTAAATAGTGTGTTTGTTACGATAGTTCTCTTTTTGGAGTGTGTGGTGGCCCAGAAAAGGGCCGTTTTGTTTGTGTTTTTACATAAAAACTCATTGGAACTTAACGACGTAAGATGAACCACGCAGCATGTGGCGGACACGTTCTGCTTTCTCTTCATTCACGATGAATCCAATATTGCAATATTGCAATAATCCATACCTTGGTGAGTGGTTTGAAGCACTTAGCTTTGGTTTCAAAATGTAGCACTTCACTGACTGTGAATTCATAACG